TTGCTATCTGTTTGTTTCAACTAAATGATCTTTTCTGAAAAAGGAGGGTGCAATTTTCTTTAGTTACCAAAACAGCAATTATGTGTTTGGGACACAGAATTTAAAATTTAATGAAGTGAACAGATTTAGTGATAGATTCACCCCCCTCCTTCCCGGCAATGACAAAAAAGAAGTATACCAGTAATAAGATGCAATTTCCTTTTATTCCAAATTTAATTTTTTCGTAAAATACGTTTAAGGTAAGATTTTCCATATCAGCTCCAAAGTAATCGCTAAGCATCGGTGACTTCCGGCAGCAGCACGCAAGAGACTAAATAAAAACAACACCACAAAAAAAAGGCTAATTTGAAAGTTAAAACTCGTTAACTTCCCCTTTTAATATTTTTTTACAATTGATTCCAAGTAAAACAAAACTGCAATTTCAGTTGACGCAAGAAAATAGGTACCGAACAATACGAAAATAGACCCGTAATGCACGTGCCTTAAAAAGATAAATCTCTAAACTTAATATTATGCACGCGAGAAACTACAAAATAATAATAATAAATTTTTAAAAAAAACATCACGATACACGTCTTATTTGAAAGGTGAAATTTTTTAACTGCGCATGCATTATGGGCCTATTTCCAAACGATATGGAAATAGCCCCGTAATGCGCCATAAAAAGATAAATCTCCCAACATTTATAAAAAACACGCGAGAAATTAACGAAAAATAATAATAATAAATAAAAAGATCACAAAAAAAGGCAGTTAAGAAAGATAAAATTAGTAAATTTCCTAAACGTTTTTTTACAATTTATTCCAATTAAAACAAAACACCAATTTTATTTAGCGACTTCAGTTAGCGCGAGCAAACAGAAACCGAACGGTACGGAAAGAATTAATGTAACATACACGCTGAAAGAAAACCCGGTAAGATATTTAAAGATATTACGGAAAGAAACCTATTTCAGAAATCAGGATNTCGGACTCTGTTCTGTACATTCTCGCAATGATTAAACCGGTGTTTCACTACATCGGAGAGAGCAACATCGATTTAGCGTTTGCTGTCATGAATAAATCGATTTAGTAGAGTCGAAATGCTCACTCCGGAATTTTGTTGAAGATGAAATGGATAAATCGGTATTACGATGTTGGAGTTAAATCGATATATTGTCTTACATCGGTATAAAGCCCAGTCCTACCGGCCACCCAGTTAAAAAACAGTGTTCTTGTCACCTTTAATTAGTAACATACATCTTTGTTATTATTAAATGTACATTGCAGAAAGATATTAATGCTAGAGAGTTTTGTCGTTTGCAGAAAGTCGGAAAACATTCTGCCACTGGGATTACAACAATTAAGAGTTTGTCACTCACCTCCACAATACGACTCATGGGATGGCTAAGCAAAACCTTTAAAGCCTGAAGAGCACCCGCATTGATCGCTGTTTGAGTTTGCTCATCATCTACGGATATAATGTGTCCAACTGCATTGAGTGCTGGTGAGATAATAGAATATTCCCTCATCTCTAGAAGTTCACAGAGGCGTGGAAGAACATTAGCATTGATAACTTCCTGAAGCTCCATGTTGCTGCCTTCAGTCAGGCATGATATAGCGTCGAGAGAGTCTGCGAGCACTTCTTGATCTAAATAAATATAATACATACAAAAGTAAATAAGAGATATAATAGCACTACTAGAGTTTGTCAACATTAAAATATTAGATTATACATAGCTGCCAACTTGTTAAAATCAAGAATAGGAACACAAAGCATAATAAGCGTATTAAAGTTGACACAAATTGAAAATCCCTGAAAATTTTATGAGCCAAGTTCATACTAAGATATCAGTTTATGAACCACACATGTTTCATACCTAACAAAATTACTGATGAAGAATCTTACCTTTGAAGTAACTAACTAAAAAGAAAAAAAACTAACCTCTTACAAAAGTCAAGATAATGGATTTTAAAATCAAAAGAATATGAATTGGGATAATTGATTTTAAACTAGAATCCGACGTCTGTGCGGAAAGCCATTTTCCCGTTAATATTCGTGATCCATTTTCAATTTTTGCAATCTTACAAGAGTCTAGCGCCTAGGAATAGATAAAGAAAATGTTTCTCAAGAATGGATGTCATTAAAATTTAAAATACATATCATCGTTAGGGCTGCAGGTTTGTCGCGGCGCGAATTTCCGCGAAATTGTCATCTTTTTCCATAAAATCCGTGAATTTCTCAATATGTCTTGACTTGCGCGAAAATTGCTTAAAATGTGATTTTTTTTAATATTTTTTATTTATTATTTTTATTAAACAGAATTTTTTATTTTCCTGAACCTTAAATTGAACATGTAAAATTGATTAGATATTTTGGGGAGTGAATCAATAGCAAAATGACATGAAAATAGTTCAGAGATAATCACAATCTTGTCAACTAAGGTGGTCTTCCTACACTTAGGGAGGGTAATTACCTTCCTGAAGTCAGTAAGAGTACAAAAGAAATTGGAATCACAAAAGGAAAACGTTATAAATCAAATCTTCGACAGAAATTTTTTTATACATGCTATTGCACTGGGCAATGAAATTTCTACTGCCTTTCTACGTATCCAGTTAATTTTTCCTAAGTGGCTTCTTGTGATTTCTTAAATATGGATCAGTTTCTTAGATGAAGGGGGGTGGGACTAGTAGTTAATAGGGACTTGTAAGTAGTAGTTTGAAAGTAGAATGTTTGAGTTTTCACAGCAATTACTTCTTACAAAGCAACAGTCAAGGAATTGCGCGTTGGTGAAGGTAAATTGATCGAGTTTTGGAAATCAGAGACCGGAACGCTCCAAAATTTTCAATTCGAAGTTTGTCAGTGCCTAAAAACAGCGTTGACGCTGAAAGATCGTTTTCTAAGTATAAAAATGTATTAAGTGATGAAAGACTAAGGATAAATGAGAATAACCTGACAATGTACAATACTTTGTACCAAAATTCTGTTCATTTAAATAAAAATATTAATATTGCTTGAAATTAAAGAAATACTTTTGTTAGGTATTTTTAAGCTTTCTTTATTATTTGCGCAACTTCTGTCTTTTGCATCATTTATATAATAAATTTATTTATGTTTAGAATTTGTGTAATTTTCAAAATTTCCCGCGATTTTTCCGCGAATTTGAGGTCTTTTTTTCCCGCTACAAACTTGCAGCCCTAATCATCGTTAAACAGAAAACTTCAGCCCTCCAAGCCCAGGCCATTTATAAAGACCTAATGCAGGAAAATGATCCACAACTCAGCAACATACTACGCATGGTGGAATTTATGTTTTCTCTGCCTGGGAGTACTGCAGCAGTTGAAAGGGGCTTTTCAGCAATGAACTTGTCAACAAATATAAAAAAATATATAATGTAAGTACTGTCTATACTGATAAAATTACATTAATTAACAGGGCTTCTGATAGGTACGACCAGGTAATTTTTGCTAATCTGGCTAGTTTTTTTAAAAACATGTTCAGATTGTGATGGAGTAGAGTGGTAGCGTTGAAGACGAAGAAAAAATGAAGCACGTGCACCTACGCTTTAGGAAGATGGTAGTACAATAAGGGGGAATGGGATTCACACACAGAGAAAAACGAAACTTCCGCACTCGCGGAAAAATCAGGTAATTTTGAGTTTGGGATTCAATTGAGGTAAAATTCGGGAGTTTTTTTAATCAATTCCGGAGGGCGGGAGGAACACAAAATTCGGGAGATTCCCGCAAAATGCGGGACAGTTGGCACGTCTGCAATTAAAATTTTATTTATAATTAAGAAATCAATTGGTATTAAAATCTTACCACTATGATTTATCAGTTCAGCAAGAGTTGGCAGGACCATTTTAATAACCTCAAATGGAAGAGGCGGATTTTCACTAGAGCAAAGTTGAGACAAAATTCCTGTAATATTGCGTCGCAACAGTGGCTAAAATAGTAAGAAAATATAAATTCGTCACATTTTTGTTAATGCTGTATAAAAAAAGCTCTTATTTCAATCAAAAGTATACTTACTGAAATGTCGGGTGTCAGTAGTGCTTGGAGTGGAGGTATAATGTTATTCTTAATAACCAAGTCTCTTAAATAAACATCATCACCTTAAAATATTAAGATTAATTAAATCAACTAACGTTCTAAGGCTTATTTCAAATCTTAAAAAAAAAAAAAAAAAAAATTTATAATAGAAAAGAAAATTCCGTAGTTTTTTCTTTTTTCTAATGGCTGAATTTACTTTCGTTTTGACAGAGGAGAAAAACAAAAGGGCTAACATTTGCCATTTTATTAAAAAAATTATGATAAAATTTTCTTAAAATAAAATTTTATAAAATATAGACACTTTAAAAATAATTCTTCAGACTATCTAAAGAAACACTTAGCCAAGTATACAGTGGCGTATCTAGGGTATGGCAGGCATGGCGAGAGCCATGGGCGCATTATTTGAAAAAGGCGCAAAATTAACCAACATCAACGTCTTTCTTTTTTTCAATTTTTCAAAATATTGTGATATTTTGCTTGTTTTAAAAAAATAAATTTAACATGCATACAAATTTTAAAAACAATAATACAAATTTCAGAAAAATAAATAAAACATTGAAAAGAATCATTTAGAAAACTCTCCAGAATGCAGAATAAAAACTTCTTATGATCCGATCCTCAGATAAATCTTTCTTTTTCCTGTACCACAAGGAAAAAGACAAGATAAACATCTCTTCATATCACATTACTAGGTTGTAAAAAACCAATTATCTGGGAATGAATAGAACACCT